ATATGAGAAATTTTGAGATATTTTGAAAGAACAAAAGTTAATGGGGTGTTATCGATTTATACATGAATAAAGAAATAGTGTCGCACCTTCATTTTAAAACTCTTAAGTCAAAGTGCACAGAAACAGAATTTTCAATGGCTTTCTTCTTTCAGTACCTTAAAAAAATTCTTGGGGTTCCCTCTTTTAACATCGAAATCTACAACGGACTTCATTCATTCGTCTTTACATTACGAATTTACATTATTTACATTTGAGCATTTGGCAGTCCATTGCAGAGTCAACATTTTCTAGACACAAACTTCCAATTGATAACTTTCAAATTAAACGTTTCATTTCCTGAAATAAATGTTAGTGATATTGCACTTGTCTCGCAAAGCACCTTTATGTTGCGCGAAAACTCCCAAAAAACAACTACTTTTAAATCATTTTCTAAACTTTTCTGTAGCGGTGACTATAGTTCTTTTAAATCAAGATTTATTATTCCGTGTTTGCATGGGCCCCAGGTTTGTTATCGAGATATGTTTAATATTGAAGCCGAGCAAATTTTTGTTGATATTTTGCGGCCTTCCGATTAAAGCAATTAGGCAGCCGTCTGCATATCTAAAATTATCAAACTTATTTCGTCTTAGGACAGATTAAAGGGGCAATATTTTTAAAAAGACCGTCGAATTTAGAAGAGACATTGAAAGGCTGTGTGGCCAGAACTAGCGCAATGCAGTTAAACGTTGTATGGTGAATTATACAACTTACGAAAATTCAGCTACTTTAAGCTGCACATTAACGGGGTTAATAACCAGCCTTGATAATTTTCAAAGGTAATGGCCTGTCACTTTAACTTAAACCGCAAAGAGATAGCTATTGACAGATAGTAAAAGCTTTGCGCCTTTTTATTCAAATTATACCGGACTTTGTTTTAGAGTCGAGTTGTTATTCGCCGTTGGCTAATTCGCTTTATAAAAAGCGGAGACTTCCTCAAAATTATTGTTCCTACAAATATTAAAGAGGTTATTTCAAACTCGATTTGAGAGCAGTTATGTCATATATAAAGGTCAATTTCCATCTCTTTCATTCGAAAACTGAATCAACATAAAAAAGGAATTTTGCATTCACGGTAGAGTGAATTTTGTTGCTCACACCCACCGCAAACCAATACGTCCTCCTTATTCAAAAATAAGCCAAATTGGTTTATATTAATAGCAAGTTTTTAGAAGAACTTGTGCGTCAGTAAACCGTGAACTTGCCCACATACGTCAATCATTATTGAGGCCCGCCTGTGGTTCATATGACGTGTGAAAATAGTTTCGCCTCTTGAGAAGACACTTAATTTTTTGCTTGCTAAGGAAGAAAAGTTCCTTGTTACCTTCAAAACTAGAGGACATCACGATGGTCGTCCCAAATTTTCTAGCGGTGAAGATTTTTGACCCTCGCAAACTAAGTAAAACGACAATGAAAGTAGGTAGTATTCTCCCAAAGAAAAACCGCTGTGCGCAGACTGCAGTGAAAACGAAGCTAGCAGAATTTCTAATTAATTTGGACGCGAGAATGTAGCAAATTTTCTGGACAAACATTTAGCCAAAATTTTACGAGCCGAATCTCTATGGACTAAAAGAATTGGCTCTTGCTTTAACGGTCGTGCAACTAATTTGGGATGATAATTTGGAGAACACTAGAAATTTTCTCGACAACGCCTCCCTTGAGAATAACTCGACAAACCCACGCTTAACACGAACAGGTTCATCCATTTGCCTGCAAAACTTTCCAGAAATGATTTAACGTTTCGAGTGGTGTTCTAGTGTGTGTATTGTGATGCAGGTAAAACAGTGCCAAGATATCAATATTCAATCTTTCCTGTCGAAGCAATATAAGATTTGTTTTCTGTGTAGTGTACGATATATGAAGTACTTATTACAGTTTTTGTACTCAAAAGCAATATAAAGTCGAATGAACACGAAACAGTCGAACTTACTTCAATCAACCTTGAAAGTTCGACACGGACGATAACAAGAGAACTTCTGATCAAGTTGTAACTTGTCAGTTTTTCTTCCGTCTGAGTTAATCTGAAAATAACAGTTTAAGCCACTATTCACTGCTAACGTGGTTTGGCTACGAAAGAATCCTTCTGGGTCCAATCTTGCACTGACGAAGATGAAAATAGTTTCCCAATATTTCAATTTGTTTGAAGCGCTTTTAAAAAGCCTAGAACAACATTTTGGTAAAGCGAACAATTAGGCCCTTATGATGTTGGGCTGAACACCAAACCTGCCACGTACGAAAAACAAACCACTCAAGAGAGCAATGCCTTTTCATATTCTGCGAGTTAAAACAAAAATAATTTTAAAACGTTATGTGGGATTACAAACTCGCGTGACTAGTGAATACATTAATTCTTAAACAGCTACCCGGTTTAATTACAGTGATCCAAGATTTTTACACTTTTTTACACTTTTTGGGTGTCCCAAAGATGAAAATAGTTTTTTGTCGATGGCATTTCTACGGGAAAAGGTATCTTAACGAAAATAATTTCGAAAACAATCGCTTTTGCACGGTGACTGGTGTCAGCTAACGTAAACTACTCAAATATAAACCCTGAATATAGCCTTCGGCGTTAAACATTGAACCTGCAAAGTATCTCTGCAAGCAAACCACTAATTTTAAACTAATTACTTGTAGAATCAGCCTAACGGAACGCAATTCAATTGAGACCGTGCATTTTTCCATGAACCATAAATTCAGGACCGCCTAATTTATTATTTAATAAGGTTTTTAGTTTGTTTTGCTTCAGGAAAAATGACCACAACAATATTCCGTCGGACCGGTTTCAATTTTATAACCTCAAATTAGAAATTTTATTCGAATTTTTTGACGTTGCGAAAGCTCTAAGTCGAACATATATCCACTTAGGTTCAAGTCGTTTTTTGGGTGATTACAGTCGACTCGATAATTTATGGTAGTTCAAAGCCCCCTGCTGTCTTCGAGAGGCCAATTTAACTAATTGTAAATGTGGCGAGAAGAAGAAGATGAATTTTCGATGGAAATTTCGATTTTGCCCAGCGATAAACGAGCATTTATCCCAAGAAGTGATACCTCATAAGACAAGAGATAACACGACAGATCCAGATTTTTCAAAATGGCGGTCAAAGAGCCATGTATTATACTGTAAACGGATTTGCGCTCTGCCCCCAGCCACGCTTGTATATTTTAATACTATGAAACAGTTTCTTTTCCATTTCAGAATGTTTTTTTTTTTTTACTGCTCGGTCAACGACTTTTTCAGCGAGCTCTGGTGGCAGTTTTTAAGATGTGCTGTCTTTGTCCAAAACTCTCACGGGTTTCCAAATTATATTTGTCTGCGTTCATCACAGAAAGAAGTTCATTGGAATTCTGTACACGTCGCTTCACAGCAGTACTCATAAGTTCCAGAAATACTCGTTTTTTATCTAGCCGTTTTCAAAAAGAAACTTTTGGCGGCTTTTCGATACAGAGTGTAAATAGGCATCAAATCGTGCCGTGGGATCTGTGTAGAGCTAGAAAACTAATTTGTTCGCAATCAGCTGAGACCCAGTTGGAAACATTGAAATGTGTTCATTTTTTGGACAAAAATAACCCACGGCGAATCGCCACCTTATCTGCATAACTCCTGTCTCCCACAGTTTTCAATTTTCTTCTTGAATTCCAAACAAACAGCTCTGTTGGTCGTATGTTATTACAAACTATGTTCCGTGCCACGGCTTAAATTGCGTCGGATAATTCTTTTCTGTGGCAACAGCGGGGAAGAAAGGCAATTCAAGGATTGAAAACTCCACGGAACAATCACTGAATGTTGTTTAACTTATCTCACTAACTTCGAATTGACGGACGAAATAATCATAAAAAAACAGACTAAATAGGACAGTAAACTCGAGATTTCATTCTTGATAGAATTCTTAATTTCTATTTAAATAGTTGAAGCGCAGGGTGTCGTCTGCGAACCCAGGGCAAAACAGCCTTTTTGAGCTGAAGAGAGATTCAGGAAATTTTTACCACAAATGGTTAAAGTTAGGCAGTTCTAGTTAAAATTTAATAGACAATTTCCACAACAGTAGGGCTCCTGGCATATAGTGTACTTCATTTGATTCCAGAAACATAAAATAACAGGAAATTGCTTCGCTGCAAAGCCCAGTACGACGTTCTCAAAGCTGGCTACTGATAATCGAAGTTCCGAAAATGATTGTTCTTCACCCAGAACGTTCTCTCGCTGTGTTCCCACAGATTCTTAACCATTGTGATTCAATTTCGCACGCTGAGCGCTTGCTAGGCAAAATATGCGTTCTTGAGGCGCTCGTAAAACCTTAAATGATACCACCGGAAAAAGAGTTTTGTGTCTTCGCGACGTGAAGAAACACCAATATTCATTATATGTGGGCGGTACATCGAATCAATGGGAGAAAGACTTGGCGGGCTCGCAGCATTAACTCAGCACGTTCTTCGCATTTTCCATCGCCTCTGTTCTTCTGAATAACTTATTTATGCCGCGTTCTCACAGCAAAACCCGCGTTCTGAATATGTGTTCCTGGCCAGTGAAACGAAAAAATGGTTATTTCGCGGCGTATTGTGGCAATATAATTCTGTTCTTTTGGTCTGCGATAAAGCCTTTGTGTTATCTTTGTCTAGATCCCTCCCAAATGACATTTCTAATTTTTCGAAGTGTTGAACTACAAAAGTATAATTACACAAAATCAACAAACTTGTGCAATTAAAAGATCGCTTGACTTGGCAAAGCTGGCCGCCACAGGGAAAGGATTTAGTCATGGAAGCTTACACATGCTGTCACTAGGAGAAGAAATCGAAATTGCTTTCGCTACGGACTCTTCCACCGGGAGCTCTATGTGGCAACGAAGCTGCAGAGTACTTTTGTTGTTTGAGGTTAGAAATAACAGTCGGGTTCCCCGGTGGTTGTGTCAACACTCCGTCCCCCTTTGTAATTTTTAACGCTTCTCCGCCAATCACCGAGCGAGAATACAAAAGGAGAAAATGATGAATGACAAGTCGCTCAATTATGTACGAGTTCAGTGCTGGATACTGGCCTGTGATTGGTCCTTTTGAAAAGGGTACTTTGAATAGCCGCGGGCGATAATACTGCTCGGTGCGAACCAATGAAAACAAAGAAAAGAACAGATAGTTAATTAGAATGACAGCTGCTTCGGTGGTTCTACTGTGACGGGAAACCGCACTAGGGGGCTACTGTGAAACTGACAGCCCCCTATAAGAGCCGGGCTTTTTCCCCAAACCTTTTACTTGAATGTGGCTTCGCTTAAACGAATGCTTGCTGAACGATTCGCGCTGTAACTGCGTTGCTGTGCTTAAAAAGTTCTCAATCGCCGATAAGGTCAATCGGGGCGGGAGAACAGAAGTCCTGGCCGACTTGTTAATCAGTATCTTTGTGTTCAAGCTGTCAACTTTCTGATTGATAACTGAATTGACTCATTTGGTTTTCATTCCCATCGAGCAAATTGGCCTGCTACGGATAGAGCGCAGTTGAGTCGCGCGACAAACACAGTATATCGGCACGGTTTACAAGGTCTGGATGCAGTTATGTGCGACAGCTCAGACGGTCGTGTAACAAGGACATGAGTTTTCGATTTAAACTGGGACTGACTGCCGTTTTCCAAGTGCTGCTGTCGAGTTGTTTATTTCCGCAACGTGAGTTCAACTCTGTAATTGTTGTGCGCTTCGAATCGCGCGTTCGCTTCAGCGCGTAATCGTGTGTTGTTATGCCGTAAATATAAATATGCTCACATTACTTGCTTTCTCATTTGTGTTCGCAGAGCTTGTCGTGTCAGCAGAGAGACAAACGTGTATACAAGTATTGAACGATCGATGCATAGCGCCGTACGAGAGCGCCGTGGATGCAGCGGAACCCGCAACGAACCGAGCAATTTGTACCGCGTTGGCTATATTTTTACGTTGTGTTCAGGACGTAAAAAACGCGGTGAAAAGCTGTAACTCAGACATACATTTTCACACTATATCTACACTGATACCACGGCAAATGAAGGACCATAACTGTGGGAATGTTTCACTGCCTACGAACGGAACAGCTCTACCAACTACAAAAACTCCTGCGACACCAGCTCAAAAGCAGCCTGCTTGTTTGAACTTTACATTCGCGCAAACCAAACTATCCAAAGAACAAATTAGGAGAAACCCACACGATTTTCGATTGTGTGCTTTATTTGGGGACCCACATTTAAAAACATTCACAGAAGAGCGTCAAACATGTGTCGTAGAAGGCGCCTGGCCTTTAATCGACAGTGAGTATTTCTCTGTGCAGGTTACGAACGTGCAGCTCGTTACAGGATCGAGCGCAACTGCTACAAACACGGTAAGGGCTTTTAAATTATTTTCAATTTCCACACATCGTAACACGGAACGTGTTCAAACAACATAGCTTTGAATTATGCATATACATCCTGCAGCTCAGAGCTTGCTTGCAATTCAAATATGGACTCCAACTGATTGTGAAAAGCATGGCGCGTTACTCAGGGCTGTGCTTGTAGATTTCACAAGCTGTGTGTTTCCTAGTGAGTCCGGCTGAGCTGCGGTGATGTTCGTTTCACTGGTAAACACGCTATTCATTAAACGCACTGTGTTCTAATCATGCTTACATTGACTCAACTCGTTCGCTTTTGTGATGAAACTAATCACGTATCATCATGCAATTTGTATCTGAAATAAAGCAATCCATCATCACAGCTAACACAAGAGCCTGCCAAAGTTGATCGATCGCGTTTTACGGATCGAGTTTACTAATCCCTTTACTTGTGATTTGTTCTTCAGATCACCGTTCTGATAAAAGCTCAAGGAAAAGGTTGTGTGAATCAGAAAATATACCGAGCAAAAGCGGGTTTGCTACCCGCTGAGTTTCATGATGGAACTCGACAAACAGGGCCATCAGATTGCGCAGCGAAAATCCATCGCCGTCAAAAGGGAGCACAAGTTCACATCGAGATTAGAATCTGTTACATTAGCACGACGATAATCATCCGACAGGTCGGTGAATTTCTGACGTTTCATGTAAAAATCCCCGAACAGCTTCTGTTCAAAGCTCCGATAACTGGACTTTGTGTAACGGGATGCCCGTACCGCCAGCGAATCGACTATAGAGAGCTGTTATCTTATACGGACGAACAACTAGGGCGAATGCGTCCCAGAAGAAGTAAAATGTCTCGCAAAGAAGCCCATGCTAAGTGTACAAAGACGAAAATCACGGGCTTCTACCTTGACTCATGTTTATTCGATCTCCTAACAACGGGGGACGAAAATTTCAGCGCTGCGGCGTGGCATGCTTTAGACGATTCATTTCTGCTAGATGAAATGGGAACCTTACGGGACCTTCTGTCCTACAACACTACTGAACCTCGGTTAGAAACCACTCCAGCCATCCGACCCACGCGACAAGCTCATAATGGGAGCCAACATAACGCATCTCACTCATACTTCGTTTTCTGGGTGCTGTTGATGTCTATGTACATTTCAGTGAGATGACAGGAATCCAATCAAACTACGCGCTGAAAATAATTTATGTGCTATGTCTCCGCCGAATCTTATCTGTTGCCTGTCAAGAAATTCCCAGATTATTTTCAATCTTTCAAAATCTTCTTGTAGTATATTAAACAGCGCGTTTAGTGAAGGACGATGCAAAGATGGCCAAGATGAACCGATTTTTTTGCATACGATCTGTGACAAATTCGTGTAAATACACCTCATCGATAGAAACGTTGTTTATGAATCAGAGATGTACAGACAGTTTGTATAAAAAAAATAAGAAGTCACTTGAATATTAGAGGCATACATTTTATATATTTCTACTGAATATTTTCTTCGGGCACGGATCAGAGAGCAGTGCGTAAAAATTTATTTGTTTTTTTTACATTCTCGATTAATTTATGAACCCACATAACAAGCATTTTGACAATGCACACACACACACACGCTTCGAAATAAATCTGATCGACAATGAAGTCTCTGTGTTTTAGTTGCGCTGTGTTTTGATATTACTGTGACATGTTAGTCATTGTTCGACCTCGCTAGATTGAACTCGTATTACCATCAGCCCCGCACGTTCAATCTCCTACGTGGCATTCTCGCGAAAAACAACCCATTTTACGTCAAATCCTTCAAATTTATCACTCGTAGTCGCCCATTGTCGGATTTTCACTGAGAACTAAGTTCGTATATTGGCGTTATCTCTCCGGAATCTGACACTCTGACCAGAGGGGAAAAGGGTGGCTTGTTCATGTTGTCTACAGCTTAAACGTGCGATGAAGTGTATTTTAATTTCGCTCTCTAATGAGCACGGAGATCTAATAAACGCCGGCTGTTATAAATAGCACTTGAGACAGATATACAGAGCCGTTATTAATTGCATTATATATTTAGTTACAACTCGAAAATGCAAGTTGTAGAAATGAGCGCACGTCTTTGAGACCAAATTGTGTTTTCCGCCTTGCTTGTTTGTCTTTCATTGCGCGTCACCTCTCTGGGGGGCATTTCTAACATTTAGAGGTGATTTCGTCTGGTTTCTAAAAGGATATTATCTTGATAAAAGACAGCTAAAAAAGATAATTTCAAGGCTTATAATAGTTTTTTCAAAAACATAAAGGTACGCCATTGAATAGATTTCTGTTTAGCCCCTATACGGTTTTTTCTTTTTTTTTCTTGTTGTTGGGCATTTTCACTTTCCTTTCAACATAGAAAGGTTTATACTTTCTGAAGGTATTCAAACCTAAATTTTTCGTGGATTCGTTTGGAAATATTCGCTAATGTCGTCAAGATATTCGCAGTGCATCAGAAACAAAAGTNTCTGGTTTCTAAAAGGATATTATCTTGATAAAAGACAGCTAAAAAAGATAATTTCAAGGCTTATAATAGTTTTTTCAAAAACATAAAGGTACGCCATTGAATAGATTTCTGTTTAGCCCCGATACGGTTTTTTCTTTTTTTTTCTTGTTGTTGGGCATTTTCACTTTCCTTTCAACATAGAAAGGTTTATACTTTCTGAAGGTATTCAAACCTAAATTTTTCGTGGATTCGTTTGGAAATATTCGCTAATGTCGTCAAGATATTCGCAGTGCATCAGAAACAAAAGTTTTCCGGGAGATGATTTCCTTCACTTCCACAACTGGAGTGTTTTCGAGCCTCTAATGTGAGGTAAAAACTAAACTGGTGAATTACGAAATCGCTGCTAAACTCTTATGAAATTCGTGTTTTTCTTCCCACGAACGAAAACAATTCTGATATCTAATTTCAACAATATATAGCTGGTTGTAAATTGGAGGAAAGTTATCGCTAACATCGACAAATTGCGGTGTTTAGCTTTGAGAGATGAAAACAATTAGAGAAGTGTTGCAGCCTTTCTTGCAAGCTTATTCATATGCTTATTAATACGAGCTTTGTAAAGCTTAACAATGGTCTTATTTTGTTAACTACCTCGTCAAAAGCTACGAAGCAGTAACCTCAACAATGATTAAGCAACATGCTTGACGAGAATTGCATATAAATGCCCATCTGGCGAAAAGATGGTACACGTTTATGTTATCCACGTTAAAGGCGATATTTTATATCCATTCAAAGCAAAAACATTGTTCTTTAAGGAGCATTGACTTAACTTGTCAGTTATCAAATTCGCTCTTGCCTCCTTGTGTCAATGCTGTTTGCTTCTCAGTTGTTTTATAAACTTGCAAGGCGCGTGTGTTCAGTTCAGTTTCAAAGAACAGGAGTTCACTTTGTCGTTAAGTAGCGAAATTCTTCACTGGCAAGGCCTGTGCTGTTTCCCCGAACGAAAATGGCGTTAGCGTCTGCTAGCAAATTTAAGTCCTTTAATTTAATTGCAATCCATCTTAATTTTCGGGGTGGAGCCTTTAAGCGCAGGAACGGACCCCACCGGCAGCCTTATTAATTATGGCGCGCACTGATTTGTACTGTACAAAACAGGTCCAAATTGGATCTTGTCTCAAAATAAACTCATCTAGACGGTTATCCAGTGCAATGGCTTTGTGTGTCACGTTTTATTAGCTGTGTCCTGTGCTGGTATTGTAGCCCTGACATACGCTTGACCCCTTGAAATCGCTACAAAGAAAACACAATTAAAAAGTTTATTGGAAAATTAGTACCAACTGTAAACACGCTGCTTAACATATGAAAGAGTCCTGCCAACGCAAACAGAACCCATCTTGCATTGAAAGGCGGAAAATTTATAAATTTATTGAAATCTTGCCTATCTTGCCTTGCCTGTGTTAACGTGACTTAACACAGACTTACGAAAAGGCAAGCGGCAAAGAAGGCGTTAAATGTCTCTCCGATTTTACCCCCTGCTGCTTAACTAAGTTCCTATTCAATCGCTTTGTGGCGATAAACAATAGAAAGCCCATTGGATTTTTTGAAGTGATGATTTGCAATCTCTCCTCGCACGATTTCCAATCCTTGCTCCAAAACACGAAGACATCAAACAACCATTTTTGAGTTCTTGAATTCCCACATACCATAGCTTAAATGTTAATAGCTCGTCAAAAAAGTCATTTGTCCCATTAAACAAATAACAGTAGCGACCTGCGTTTTCACAAAAAAAAACATATGTTGTATAATTGGAGTATTTGTAACAAGCATGCTCGAAGCATCTCTTAGACAAGGCAGCTGCAAAAACTGTGACTACACGATAGCATGCTTAGGAAAATTGTACAGTTCCTAAAGGCTTAAACAACAGATGACTGTCTGTCCGGTACATTGCACCCCTGGGTGGCCCGTTTACGACAGAAGAAAATTCCACGAAAACACAAAAAAGAGCTTAAACGCTCGTTTTCTTTTCGTCTAAAAGCCGAAATTGATTACAGTTCTATTCAGTAAGACGAAGCAGGTAAGCCTGCTTGATCCTACACGTGTGTAAGATGCACCTTGTTTTAACGCCAATTTGGCTTTTATAGACCATTATTGACCCCTAGAATGAGTAATAAGTTGAAAGGTCTGCACAAACAATCAATGACAACAATACGCAACAGGTCTGAATGGAACATGTCCATTTCTAAATCAAAAGAAAAGGTGGTACACTTCTGGCGCTTTCGGAAATATTTTAGTCTTTTTAAATGCAGTTACATCTATAGGCATTTTGTTTTCTGAGTGAATGTAAAAATACAAGCTCTAGCTTCACAAACACGCAAGAGTGATTAAATAACTGTTATTAACCTCAAGTGGATAAGAAGCTAAGTGTTTCAGTTGCACGGGGTCGCAGCCCAAAAGTTTCTTAAGAAACTAGCATATTTGTTGTCTTTGTTGTAAACAACTTTAAAAAATGAAAAACTCATTCACGCGCAGAAACTAAATGAGTGTTCAATTAAGTTGATGTGACCTTCCTTTGAACTATAGGTAATTCAGTGCTAGCTAAACCTTTTTCCGGCCGAAAATGAGGAAACATCCAGACGGAAACATTATCGGAATGCCTCGTTCCGCCGGATCATCTTAATGCGGCACTGCATGTGTGAAAAAAAAAAAAATTCAACAAGAACGTTAAACTACTTAAGATTTACCCTTTTGATTTTCTTCCAGCATTGGAACAACAATAATTCAGATTTATACTTTGATTTTCTCTTCGTATTGAATTGCAACAATAGCATATACTTGATAAAAAAATACTTTGAAGAACGAAACTATTTGTAAACTAACATTATTGAATAGGGTAAAAATTCGTCCTCATAAGCAGTAGGGTCGCAAGGCCGAGTGTTGTTTGCTTCAAATCTTTCAAATTCAACTGCACTGACGTCCAGGCACTTCTAAGAGCCGGAAAAGTTCTTGTTTTCCTCTTCTTACGGACTTCCTGCAAAGCCTGGCGAACTCATTTTGCTTTAGTCGTCCGGCGACCAGTCGACATTCTGACACCCACTTAGAATGGGTTTAATACGTAGGTAACTTTGTTTTCGTTGGTAGTTTAAGAACACGTTGAAAATACTTTCTTCAAACGGTCCTCTTAAAAGTTTTTTTTCCAGGAAATGTGTGGTGCAAATGTAAAACATCGTGAGTGTTTAGCCCCGTTTAGTGTTTTGCATGTTTTTTCTCTGCTCAATTCTGCCGAGTGTTATAATCTACGCTGGAATTTGCCCGCTTTGGCAAATATTTAGAAGTTGATACTCTTTACTCCAAAGGCTTTTTAGATTTCCTCCAAATACACGTGGAATGGCTGATTCTCCGAAGCAAACAATTGTAAGATTAGACATTACCGCGGGCACGAATCTGAGAGAGCATCTTTTTTAACGAACGTCTTTGCCGACTTAGCGGTTCAAATCTTACACTTTTCGCTGACGTCAGATAACAGCTTAAATAAGGTTAATCAGTGTTAAGTTGTTTATTATTTGGTAAGTTATGTTCTCTGGAGTAAAGCCAGTAATCAAGATGACGTTTTCGTCCTAGGCGGGAAAGGGATTAACAAACTCACGAGTCTGTAAATCCTGTCTCGTGTTATTCTCACATTAACGACATTTTACAGCAAAGAATTAGCTCAGTTTCGTTGGGCAGAAAAAGAAACAACTAACGAAACTTTTGGTAAACCTTGAATTAAGCCTTTTAGTGCTGTGAATTTTCAATACGGTAAAATAGGAAAGTTGTACGAAACAGAAACCATTTTAATGACCGTAAATGCGTGTTTAAGAGGTTTAAAAGGGGCTCAGTCACGGTGTTTAATTTTGAGTTATTTTGGCCACATACAAAATTACCTTTAAACGGTAGGAAACCTGAAAATAACAGTTTAATAAGATAGAAAAACACCAAAGAGATAATGATAAACCATAGAGGAACAAGGGTGGCTAAGGATGGAGAAAATTGACACAGACTACAAACGACGAATTTGAAAAATTGAGGCTAAACTTTTCACTATGCGCAAGTCGTGACTGAACTCCTTCAAATAAAACATTTTCACGAGAAGCTTTGGAAAAGCGCCGGACAAACACTGACATGTGGCATTTAAAAGTTAATAGGATTGTTCCTTTCTGCTACAACAGTTTAGGAAACCAAGCAATTTAAATCGTGACTTTTTTCCAGGTTTTGCATAGGAATTAAACTACAAGGAAAAAGATAATTTATCATGAGACATAACTATGAGGGAAATAACAGATTTTAAAGACTTTAAACTATCAATCTGACCGATTATTTCGAAGTCGTCCAAAGACTCTTGGAATGCTGACAACAATAAGCTATTTGCTGAATTCCGCAACTTTGAGAAGGCTATTTGCATTGCGACTGAGATAATTTCAGTAAAGCTACAGAACGTTTTATATATGAACAAAACTTAGGAAAAGATCACCACCAATAGTTTGGACGAACCATACAAATGAAAGATCAAAGCAAACTGCAAAATTGAAATATAATTTTGTGCGAAGCAACGCTTGCAGTTGGAACCACTTGATTAGAGGTCAAACCGTCCACAGCATTTTAGCTATATACAATCGACACAAAATGTTTTAAGGTTCCAAATTAAATTGCAAACCAAGAAGGAACAGGCCTCTAAGGTTAACTTTTTAGAATGTACCAGGTCTGCTATAAAGTGGTGTTTAAAACGACATCGTGTGCACGCCGGCATGGACAAAACTCTTTTTTCGAGTACGTCACAGGTCGCCTAATTAACCAACGTATTGAGAGGGGACTGGGTGACACACCTCCTTAATCAGGAAGCCTGCTTCACCCAGAACAAGCCCGAACAGTATTCGTTGTTACACTTTACGCTTTTAAAGAAAAAATATTTCACTTGCGGAGCCTGCTTCTATTCAGGTTGAACGACTTCCTGCACTGAGTATTTCTCATATATATTTCAGTGATTGATTATATTTCTCTTTCAAACTGAACTATTAATTGTTCCGGTTTTGCTAAGCCGGGGGGTATGTGTACTTTTAAACCACTTAAATCACATTGTTAACTGGTCTCTTTAAAGCTGAAAGCAATATCTTTCTGTGGTTTCTTTTGTAATGCTAAACTTGCAACCTTTAGATTAAACAGTTCTGTGGTTTAAGTCCTATTTGCGACGCCACTTTCGAGTTTTGCATAGTTTGGTATCAGGTACCCGTACTTGAATAAGGACTGTTTATAAACTTCCTTATTGAATTGCGTTTTCACTCTAGAAACTGTAATATTTATCGCTTTATCCTTGGACGCGTTTCTAAGCAGATATTTCCTTTATTTAACAATTCTCGAATACACACTGAATTGCGTCATCAAGTTAAGTTCACAAGTGTCAAACATCCTTTGCGCCAAAGTCTTCAAAATCGGCAAGGTCATCGAAACATTTAAGGACAGATGATAAATTCATCCAATTTAAAAGTATTATTTCTAGTGTTTCACCAGAAACTGTCAAACTGAGGTCTTGATTCAGATCAAAAATTAATTACTGGGGAAAAAAACACGTTTATTACGTGTGCGTCAGTAAGGGGCTTGATGTGTACTTTAACACGCTTTCTTTCTCTACAATAAATTAACACAAAAATTAAACGTTTCCTCACAAACCAGCTCTTTCAAAAAAAAAACCCTCATTCTACACAATACCTGAACGAACCTGCGTTTTATTTACGAAAAATCGCGATGACTGAATATTTCAGATCGAACGATTTCTAATCCGTTTATTTAAACATTTTTTTTTTAAAGTAGACCTTCGTTATTTACTAATAATTTAAGACCTTAAGAGCAGTTTTCTTGCCAATTTCCCCAGATAATGTAGAAAGGTGTTGAAATTTTAGATAGTATGCGAGTTGCTGCTACCGGAATTATTTCAGTTTATTTAGACAACGCGAGTTACCAATATCCGTTTTCAATCTCAGAACATGTCTGCCGAGGGAAGTCGGCACGTTTGTATTACTTTTTCAAGAGCTTTTCTTTCCGGTAAACTCCTGCAAAGCACATTGCGCCTCGCAAACAGAACAATATTGCGAAATAACAACCGGATGTTTATGAAACAAATGGAGGTAATATTAAAACAGAGTCACAATTGTTAGAACTTTGTTATGTTGTAAAACAGTCAAGGTAACCTTTGCGTGGGTTAAGTCCACGTTCGTGGCTAATGGCCCATTGACTGGGAATATTTGTACCCTCCCCCCTGGATCGGATGCTAGTCAATCCCAAGGCTACCGACAGCATTAAATTCGCCGGTACCTGTTTGTACACCTGGGTGAAGAGAGGGACTGCGAGAATAAATTGTTTTGCTCAAGAACACAGTGCAATGACCCTGGCCTGCACTTAGGCACCGTGGTTCCTATTTACTTCGAGTGGAGGACAGTTTAAAACTGTGTAGGATTTCAAGGGAATTAAGCTGGCAAGGCGGGGGTGCCGCCATTACCCCTGCGTGCATCCCCACAATGGTTACAAAACAAGGTCCGCTCCTTAGCAACCAGTATTATCAGTCGCAGCTGTTTTTGCATGGATTTTGTACGATTTGACTCCTCTGTTTTCTCCTTAGTTGAGAAGATATATCAAACACCCAAGACAGTGTTTGACCACATTTCCAAACACCTCGAAGTTCGTCAAATTACTCCGCTACGCGTCGTATTTTCAACTCTCTTCTCGGTGTTTGGAAATGTGGTCAAACACGGCCTTTTGTGTTTGACATATTACAGAGAACATGGACATCATTGCAGTTTATGACGTCAGTTTGATGTCACACGGATGCATCACGGGAAAACAGGTCCAGTCCTTTCTCGGGACGAAAGTTAACTTTACAAAGAATCCTCTTTGCAAACAGCATTACCTTCCCCTAACATTAATCGAAGAGATTCAAACACGAACCACGCAGGAATTCTTCAAAAGAGTTGATTTAATTATTCCACCGAAAATATTCCCAAAAACTCTTCTTGCACCTTGAACCCCAAGCGAAAAACTCTGTGATAACTCACATTTAGGCAGTATTAATTTAGGCGATAACAAATTTACCACAGCTTTAAATCTTTATTTTATGGGGTTGAGCGTGGTCCAATTCTGGCACTCTGTCACGCAACGCTACACGCGCGTTCCTCTCTCCGAGAGCGTCACGTTGCTTGACAGAGAGAGTGAGAGAGCCAGAACTAGACTAGAGTGAGCCGAAAGGAGCAGTGGGAACTCCTAGTTCGAAGTCTGTTCTGGTGACAAATCTCTGTTATTTAAAAAGAGAGGCCCATTTCGAATAACAAAGCAGTTTAGACCTAAATTTGTTAAATCTAGTTTTACAAAAACATTGTTATGGTACTTTATAATTCATCTTTGTCTTTCTTGGTCTTCTTTTTCTTCTTCTTCTTCTCCTCGGCGGGAACTTCAAATGTGTTCGTTGCTTCACGCTTGAGGTATTCTATGAAAGAATCCACATCCCTTCCGCCGTTATATTTCTTTGGCGTATCCTTACTTTTCTTTGGTGAGAAGTAAAGTGTTGGAAAACTGTGAAGACAACAAAAGTCCGTGGTTTTTATTAGCGAGCTTTTAGTTCAAAAATAAAACAATGAGCCAATGATACAGGTTTCTTCCAATCCCAATATTTTGGCGGTAAAACACCGTGTAATACAATTAAGCTATCGCCATGGAATGTTATGTTCCCCATCGCCCGAACGACAAAACCAATTATTTTATTGAAAAAGTACATAGAAAAAAGTGTTTTTGATTCACTGCCTGCTCCCATTTTTCGGGTGTTTCCGAGTTTAATACGCTTCATATTCATCTTCAAGTGACTTTGACATCTAAATCAGCCCTCAAAACGGCATCTTCAAACACCTTTCAGATTAATAGTGTCTCTGATGCGAGCTAGCGGTCATGGCAAAGATAAAATCAGGGTTCGCGAACGTCCGTTTTTAGTTAGCTTGTTTTTAACTGACTGAAATGTTACATTGACGAAAACCACCAATTGCTACCACTAGAGCAGTTTTCAATGGAGTGCCGTAGAACCAATAGCAAAAGTTTTCACTCTGGCCAATCACAAAGAACGCAGACAATCCTGTGAACCAATCAAAACTCGAAGCAAATACATGTAGCCGAGGCAAAGCGCGGGAAAACGTGTGCGAGCGAGTCGCGATTGGTTTTGGTTTTACTTCTGATTGGATGACAAAATGGCACGAATTTTTAAGCCATTCCCGCAGCGTGGTAATGAAAAACCACAGCAAAGGCGAATCTACTTTTGACCCTCAAGTGAAAACTTCTTTAAGGTATTATAAGTAAAAAGATAGAAGATCTTGTCTCCAAACACTGACTCACCCTTGTACTTGGTAAGGTGGAGGCACATCATTAGCTGTAGCGTCCATCTTGGCAATAACAATGTCTTCCACATCCTTCAACTATGAAAGAAATCTTAGGTCTTAAGTCTCAAGTCTACATAAAGCTGTGACAATAATATTTCTCTCATTTGGGAAATCAGTATTTTTCTTGAAGTAAAAATTTATTATGTTTGAGAACACTGCTATATACCCTTTTCATAAATGGTTACCAATTGTAAATTCTTTTGCAAGGATTAAAATTAGCGTTACTAAACTCGTTTTAACTTCAAAAGAATTTTTATTCTCAAACGAGGTAACGAGGTTGGAGAGGCTAATTTACATTTAGACTATTTATACAGTCGAACCTCTATTAAGTAACGGTCCATATGAGAAGGATAGCACCACGCGGCAAGGAATGCAAAAAGGTGCTAACTTTAGTGCAGTTTTGCTATTGTTGTACCATACTTCTGATTGACTCAATAAACAAACTCTACCAAAACTTCAGATAGCTATATATATATTTATGCGCAACTGATTAACTATCTTCCTTTCAGCAAAACCTGTTCTGAATCTAAATACCACAGTAATCCTATGTGGGGAACATTGGAAAATTGGAAGCTTTTATTGTCTGTTTACGACTGTTGTGATTGGTTGAATGTTTTAACACAAAGGAAACTACCTTTCAAAATAGAGTTAAGGTCATTCCCCAGTATTGCAATGCGCATCCCTACTGCGCATATTTTCACGCGTGATTAGCGCGCGCGCATTAAAAAATGGCGGCTTTTTCTTGGCGGCTGGACCTCGCCATAGAGGTAAATCGTCATTTTCTCGAAAACGAGTATGGTGACCTATCATTTTTTTCTGCTGTGTTGAATTGAGTAATAAAT